TATATATATATACACACACAGAAATGAGCATTTCCCATGTAGTATGTTGATGATCACGTTGAAAAATAAGTAAAATGCATTCTCAATTTTTTACGTTGAGTATGACATATTATTTTGAATAGATATTAACTTAACCTAACACTAGAATTTTCTTTGTCAAAATAATAATAAAAAAAAACCTAAGAAATGAAGACACAATATTGATTGGATCGATGACTTCATGGTAAAACACTTTGAGTTGGATCTTAAGCATTGGAGCCTAATGTTGAAGTCATAATAAAATAGAATGAAATGGAAAGCATGGGCATGGCATGCAAACCCTAGAGATTAAACAATATTGTTCTTTCAGGCCAAAAAAAAAAAAAAAAGGAACAACATTGTCGATGCCGGCCGAGACGGGGTTTGAAATGAGAAAATTTTAGATTTGGTTCATGAATCATAATGAGGCAGGTAATTAGTTCCATCAAATTTGGTTAGTCAAATACCCATCATTCGTTCTTTCGTTTTCTCCACCATGCTAAAAACATGGCAATCTCGTAACTAAATTTTAAACTCTGCAGGCAATCAGTTCCATGAGAATTTGCTTTCATTGTTAAACAAATGATGTCAAAAACCATACCCACCATTCTTTACTTTTTTCAATACCAGTTGTGCAAAAGAAGCCAAAAGAACGAGGACCAATAAGAGAAAGGCTCTTTTTAGTACTTCTTATTAAGATATTTCAGTTAATTTTTGTGTATTTTAAAACTAATATTTTTTAAAAATATTTTAAAAAGCATTTTCATATTGACTTAATACATTTAAAAAAATCAATTTTTTCAATTTTGGCTCTAATAGTTGAACATGAACTTAAATCTAAATTTAACATATAAAATAATATTTACTTATCAATAAATTTAATTTTGACATTATAAATTGGATTTAAAAGAAAGAAAAGTTGATAATTTGGTGGGATCCAAATTGATTCCCAAAAATCCTATTTTTGTTTCAAAGAATCAAATAAAAAATTGTATAGTAAGGCCATTGACATGACATATACCGACATCAATTAGAATCAACTTTCATATGTGTAAGTCATTTAGTTATGTCTTTGAGATTTATTTGTAGTGTTTTCCTACACAATCATGAATTCATGATGTTAGTGTCCTCCTCACATTACATTCTTTTTTTTTTTTTCTTTGTATTAATATTTATTAAGAGATGAGAAATATAGCATAACTTCACAATTTTCTTAAACTACATTATTATTATTTTTATACAAGGGTTTCTAGGTCAACTACATGATTGGGTGTTGAGCCCTCTCAATTTCACCGGTTGAAACTTTAGACATTAAAAAAAGGGAGATAGGTAAGATTCTATTAGAAACTGAATTTTATTTAAATGGGGTCCTGGGGTCTTTTTCTCATGGGACAACTATTTTGAATGGGGTCCTGTGATACATGAATACTTCTCATGAGACAATTATTTTGGAAAAAGAAGTGGCTCTAATATTCACAAAATCTTAATTTTGAGGGTTGGAGGATTAGGAAAATAAAAAGGTTCCTTTCCCTTTGTATGGTCTAATAAAAAAATATTGCAAGTTAAATCAAATGAGATTTCCTTAAAGCACTTTCAGTTTTCACTCATGATATCTTACCTAATTCCATGATATAATAATAATATTACTTTTTTAGAAAAAAATAAAACTTTATTTAAAGTTTTAACTAGATTAAACATGAAAATTTGAAAACTGCTTTTGTTCTCTCGTTTCAATAATGACATTCTCCTTTTAGACTCCTCTTATTGTTTTTTTTTTTTAAAAAAGAAAAAAATGTGAGAGAATAGGAATAATTTGACTGCTATTGTAGTGGATGAAACTCTAACAAATATCAAAAGTTCAATACACTTGAACCAAGGCAGTCAAAATTGCAAGTGCTTCTAGACTCCTCTCATTGAGGTATCTGATTCTTGAAGGATTTATTCTACAAAAAAAGAGAAGATTTACAAAGAATTATTGGTGTAATTAATATTCTAGATGCAGATTTGTTATAATGTTTCAAAGATTCTAATTAGCCCAACTTCCCTAAGTCTCATAGGTAGCTTAAAGTGATTTGCTTCTGCTACATGAGTAACGATATTTAATCAAAGTATATGTACTTTGTGTTTTCTTATATAAACCCACTTTTGCTCCTAACTGGGAAAGTGGTTCAGCTAATTGTGTGGCCCACCCCTTTTGATCAGACAGGATATTGTTTATATTATACATCGCTTTTATGCATGCTCAAATTCTAGATCTTCACAATTAACCACTGTATCCATTTTCTATTTGTTTATATATAGAGTAGGTATGCCTCAAGTTCAATGCTTCAATTTTGTAAATTGAGCTCAAGTTGTGTTTTGTTAATCTTAGAATTTGCTTTGAATTATGTCACAAGATATTGTTATTTTAGTCCTACTCTTTTTAATTTTGTAATGACTGATGCTAATTTTTAAGTTATATTTATTCTTATTTCTCACTGTACTGTAAATGTAATCACAATTCGAATAAAGCATTTTATATTTTCAAGAGAAATGACATCACTTGAAATGGTTTTTGGAGTTATGGAATTGTCCAGCTAGATGAGTGACCACTTGTCTGAGTCATGAAATCAAATTCAAATGCATCACTTTGTTCCTCCTTTCATGTTGCAGTAATCTACCTACACCCGCATGGTATTAGCCTGATGATGCTTAATTTGCATCCTCCCATTCAACTCAAAGTAATTAACAGGCAGCAGTTAACACCCATGTCAGAGTCAGAGGATTAATGAAACAGACGTTTCCCTGAGTGGCAAAATGTTAGGTATCGCATGATAAAGTTTTGATTTTTAAGCTAGTGCATGCTCAGTTATACAGGGCATTTCAGAGCCAAGTGGAGAAGATAACCCCTTAAAAATACCATTTGGTATATGTACAAATCTCCAGTACTACTAGACAAATTAACAAAGCCAAAAAAGAAAGAGAACCCAAACTGCCTTTTTATTCAGAAACCACCAATGTCTCTCACTTTCCCTTCCACATCCGTTTTCTTTGTTTCTTTATCTCACTCTCCAAAACTCACCCACGCCAACCATTTTTATATTTCGTTGCTCCAAATCCAACCACCCCCGTTTTGAATACCATTCTCTCCGTATTCGTTTTTGGTGTTTCGTGTTAGCTCTTGATTTGTCTGCATTTTTATGTCCTAAATTGCTTTCTGTAAAGAAACCCCCTTTACCTAATCTCTTTCTAATTTTGTATTTATTGGACTTGTATGAGCTGGGGAGGGTTGTAATCTAACTGGGTACTCTTTATTATGGCTCAGAACTTCACCTTGCTGTGAAAGAATGTATCTTGAATGATTCTCTGGCAGCTTCGTGATGGATCTTGGAGCTGTGATTTCTAACAATCCAATCAAGGTAAGACATATCGCAATGAGTTTTGCAGTGTCTTTTCTAGTAAAAAAAAAATCTCAGTTTGTTGTTCATGGTCTTGGCTGTTCTTCTCATTGCTGCAGAAGGATTCTTGGAAGACAGTGTTGACTCTGGCATATCAGAGTTTGGGAGTTGTATATGGGGATTTAAGCACTTCTCCTTTGTATGTTTATAAAAGTGCTTTTGCAGAGGATATTCGACATTCAGAGACTAATGAGGAGATTTTTGGGGTCTTATCTTTTGTATTCTGGACATTGACACTGATACCGTTGGTAAAATATGTGTTTATTGTGCTCAGAGCAGATGATAACGGTGAAGGTGGGACTTTTGCTTTGTATTCACTGCTATGCCGGCATGCCAGGGTTAGCTCCTTGCCCAATTGTCAGCTTGCAGATGAGCAATTGTCAGAGTACAAGAAAGATGGGGTTGTATCAAATGATAAGACTATTGGGTTGAGGTTGAAGGCAACTTTAGAGAAGTACAAAGTATTGCAAAGAGTGTTGCTTGTGTTGGCTCTGATTGGGACTTGCATGGTCATTGGTGATGGGGTGCTCACACCTGCAATTTCTGGTATGGGAGGATACGATATTAGTGGATTTTTGGTTTCGTTGGTTGGTTTAGATCTTAGAACTGAGAATTGCTTGGTTTTTGGTCGTGTATGCAGTTTTTTCAGCTGTGTCTGGGGTGGAGCTTTCCACACACAAAATGCAACACCGCTGTAAGTTCCTAATTTCAGAAGCCATATTGTTCATGTCAAATTTTCATGATTTAAAGCTCAAGTAAGCGTTTAAATAACATTAATTGGTAATGTAAACTGTAAATAATGCTGCTTCATGCTTCTAATCGACTCATGAGTGTCTAATAACACTTAGAAAGCTTTTCATTTTATAAAAGTTGACTTTTCTTACTGTAGAGCCAGAGAACTAAAGCTAGAGGCATAGAAAGATAGCTAATTTAGTTTTTTCTTTTTGGCCGTGGAGCTAATTTAAGATATAAAGCGTTGATGTCTGAACAACCTCTGTCTTTCTTTTTTGCTTCCGGAAGTTCCTTTGGCATCTTCGTACTATGACTCTCGTTGAAGAGCTACATAACTGTCTGGTGGCCGAACCTTGAATATGTTATTGTCTACTAGTTGCTTGAAAATAAGATGAAAATTCAAAGTTTCATCTTGTTTATTGGTTATTATTTGCGGACAAGAAATTAGTGTGGTAGAGATTAGCAGGTTGTGATAAAGCATGCACTATTATGGGTCCCCACACATATAGTTTAAGAACGGCTCACTTCTTTAACCAAACTCAAATCACCATAAAGCTAATAAAAATATTTAGATTTATAATGTGGGGGGTCAAAGTTGACAGCTTCCTATTTATAAAGAGGTAATGATGCAAGTATGTGGCCAAGAAGAGAAGCTTGATTAATTAGATAAGTAGGTTGCTAACTTTTGTAAAGCTAATATGCCATTATAATCTGGAGAGAGAAAAACAAAAGCAATTTGGTAAAGATAAGAGCCAGAATAAAATAAAAATAGGAATAGTCTGCTGCGGTTATCTGACTAGTTCCTCTCATTGGCAGTATTACCTTTCTTAATTTTTAAACTGATCAAACTGAAATAAGACCATGAGAAATTGCTAGATGAAATACTATAATTAGGTGACCTTTCACTATCAACCATATATTCTAGTAGTAGAGTTATCTATGCTCTTAGCGACGAGTCTTTGAACCACTCATCTCTACATGGCCCCACCACCATCCCCCCCCCCAAAAAAAAAAAAAGAGGGCACCTTTCTCTGATTGATGCCACTAATGTAATAAAAATATCTCCTCCAGGGTCTGGGGTAAATTCCTTAAAGATACATTTTGCATTTGATTTACTAAGATGTTTTTAGCCCTTCTATTCATAAAACTGTGATTGGTTTGTTTGTCACAATAGCTTAGCCTTTTGCTAGTGGGCTGTCATTGTTTTTATGGATACTTTTAAATGCCAATCTTTTCAATTGGTGAGTGACATGGACTTAGTTTTCTATCATAGTTTATCTAGAGCCAGCTCAAGTAGTCTTTTCAAGTACATTGAATAACAAGTTTAACCTTCTCTTTTTTTTTTTTTTTTGGCTGGAAGTACAACCTTGTTTGAAGCAATGAAAAGCAACATGTTTACAGTTGACTTTGCAGAAGACATCAGATGACCTTTGAATTACAAGTTTTTTTTATTCTCATCCCCATAACTTTTATGAAAATTTTCTTTTTGTTACTACTGCTGCTTTAATATTGGTTAAAGAAAGTTCAAAGCATTATTTGGTTTCCTGATCTATCTTGCTTCTTTTACTCAGAAACTACACTAGCTTGCTGTTTGCATTCATACGGTTTGGCTAGATTTTAAGGATGATAAAGGTTTTTGGGCAATGCCTGGACAGTGTTATTCATTTCAAGAACTTAAACTCAAAAGTTCTTATGTGCTTACTATCTGTGTCCTCAGAATGTATTGTTTCTGCAGATATTGAAGTCCCAGTTTCTTGTGCAATATTGGTCTTCTTGTTTGCCCTCCAACATTATGGGACACACAAGGTGGGCTTCTTGTTTGCACCGGTAGTGGTTACATGGCTTTTATGCCTCAGCGCAATTGGAGTGTATAATATTGTCCACTGGAATCCCCATGTTTACCAAGCACTTTCCCCATATTACATGTATAAGTTTTTGAAGAAGACCCAAAAGGGAGGTTGGATGTCCTTGGGTGGAATCTTGCTTTGTATAACAGGTACAAGAGAGCATTGGCTATGTCCTATTCCAATTCACTTATCAAGCATTTCTACTTTATCTCTCTTTAATACTCATAATCTTTATATTTCAGGGTCAGAAGCTATGTTTGCTGATCTTGGACACTTTTCACAGCTGTCAATCAAGGTAATTTGTTGCTTACTATCAATTTTGCTTCTGCAGCTTTGCTTTCATTGATCTGTCATTTATTTATAATAAGTACTTGTGGATATTCTCTACAAATTCATGCATGTCTATTTTCATAAATCCTAGTTAAAAGCTACACATGCACACTCTATAGTAAGTGTTTCATTCTTGATTAAAAAGTTCCAATTATGTTGATGAGAAAGAAGGTAAGTTGGAACAAAGGATCAACAGTTCTATTTGGAATTTTACTCTTTGGCTCCATTTTCCTAATGGAAGTATAGGTAGAATGTCTTTTTTTGTCTTATTGATGTACTGGTAGGTCTCGTACTTCAGCCAGTTAAACGACCTAGTAGAGATGGTCACAAGTTATAGCTATATCCTAACCTAAAGCAACTTTCCTGCAGATTGCTTTCACTTTCATGGTTTACCCATCCTTAATCCTGGCATACATGGGACAAGCTGCTTATCATTCAAAGCATCATGTCATTGACAATGAGGAATACCAAATTGGATTCTACGCATCTGTCCCTGGTAGGTTGTTCTTCATGGCTGACAACTGATACACTTTAAACTCCAGACCATGCTTATCTAAGTTAATGCACCACTGTTATTTTCAGGGAAAATTAGATGGCCTGTTCTGGGTATAGCCATACTTGCTGCGGTTGTGGGTAGTCAAGCTGTCATCACTGGAACTTTCTCCATTATCAAACAGTGCTCGGCTTTGGGTTGCTTCCCCCGGGTCAAAATTGTTCATACATCCTCCAAAATACATGGCCAGATTTACATTCCAGAGATCAACTGGATCTTGATGATGCTATGCTTGGCTGTGACTCTTGGTTTTCAAGACACAAAACGCTTGGGCAATGCTTCGGGTTTTCTTCTTTTCCTTTATCTCTTTCATTTAACCCAATATCTTGTAGGTTCTTAAGTCACATCACTTTTAGCATCTTCTTCTTCTTCTTTAACAGGTTTGGCGGTTATAACAGTTATGGTGGTTACTACATGCCTAATGTCCCTGGTTATTGTCTTATGCTGGCACAAAAATATCTTCTTAGCCATTTGTTTCATATTCTTCTTTGGATCCATAGAAGCACTCTACTTCTCAGCATCTCTTATCAAATTCCTTGAAGGGGCTTGGGTTCCCATTGCACTTTCATTCATCTTTTTGATGGTTATGTATGTTTGGCACTACGGGGCACTTAAGAAATATGAGTCTGATGTTCAAAACAAGGTCTCCATCAACTGGCTCCTCACTCTAGGTCCCAATTTGGGAATTGTTCGTGTTCCAGGAATTGGCCTCATGCATACTGAGCTTGTTTCTGGGATCCCAGCTATTTTTTCTCACTTTGTCGCCAACCTTCCTGCTTTCCACCAGGTTGTGGTCTTTCTTTGCATCAAGTCAGTCCCGGTGCCACATGTTAAACCTGAGGAAAGGTTCCTGATAGGAAGAGTTGGTCCAAAGGAGTACCGGCTCTATAGATGCATTGCACGTTATGGATACAGGGATTTTCACAAAGATGACTTGGAATTCGAAAAGGATCTTGTTTGTAGTATTGCAGAGTTCATCCGGTCAGGGAGGCGAGAATCTGTTATTGGGATAGAGGATATAGAAACAGAAACTGATGAGAAAATGACAGTTGTCGGGACTTCATCATCGAACCTAGATGGCATAAGAATGTGTGAAGATGGTGAAGATTGTGCTGAAATGGCAAGCACTTCAGACCTAATGGAGATAAAGTCCCTAGAGAAGCCTAGGAAGAGAGTGAGATTTCTGGTCCCAGAAAGTCCAGAGATTGACATTGATGCACAGGAGGAATTGCAGGAGCTGATGGATGCAAGGGAGGCAGGACTCGCATTCATACTTGGGCACTCGTATGTTAGGGCGAAGAAAGGATCGGGTTTGATGAAGAGAATAGTGATAAATTTGGGGTATGATTTCTTGAGGAGGAACTCCAGAGGACCTTCTTATGCGTTGAGCATTCCTCATGCATCTACATTAGAGGTGGGGATGGTGTACCATGTGTGAAATACCATGTTTGAAAATGAGTATACAGAACAGCTTAATGTATTCAGAGAAGTTTTTGTTCTAGTCAAATATTGTATATCATAATAGGCACAGAGCGTTTTCTGGCTTCCAATGAATTGCAGAGATATTGGTAGTTCTTAAGCAGGTAAGTGCTGATGTACAGTGTTCAGTTTCCCCCGAAGTTTCTATTTCTGGGTTTACTTCTTCTTCTTCTTCTTTTCATTCTCTGTGGCTCACACCAAGAATGGACTGGGGTCGGGTCAACAACAATGCAATCATGTTATGGGGAGCAACTCTTTGAGGAGAGTCTGTAAAGTTCAGAATGTGTTCTTCATTGCTCCTCGTCATTGCCTTTGGCAATATTTCCAAGGAAAGGAAATTATCAAACAACAGGAAAACAAACATTCCAGAGAGACAGAGCGAGAAAGAACACATTATAACTCCAAGCAAGAAGAGGGTAAACGCAAAAAGAGGTAGATAAAACCTAAGAAAAAGATATCAAGTGGGGCATTAGATCAGAGGAAAAATGTCAAGTAATCAAAGTTTTAGTTTGTTGAAAACAAATTATGTACCCACTCTCATCTGGAAATTAGTAGAATATGGTCCAAACTTTCACTTCTCTATCCAATTATACCCACGGAATCAAGCCAATCCCAATTATCGAATTATTATCCACTCTCAAGGAATGAATTTTCAGGTTAATTAAGTAAAGCACAAGGCAACATCAGAGAATACGATTCCTCAGACAATCATACTGGATCACTATGACCCCTTTCCTCTCTTTCCCGTTCACTCTTCTTTCTTCTTGTTAACAGTTCCCTTGTATTAACTACTAAACCTTCCATAATCACCATAACCTCTGTCTCTTTCCAAAAGGTTTCTATTAACATCTAAAAGGAGAAAAAGTGAAAATATACTGTCTGGTGATGTCTCCTCCAATGGGTGTCTATATACACATAAAGAAAGAAGGTTTGCAGAGCTCATATCCTCATGCCTGAGCATTATTTCTAGTTCTTTTCTTGTTCATCTCAGAAACCCCAACAATGGCGAGAAAATGGGTAGTCTTTCCTCTCGTATTTATAGTTCTCTTTAGTGGGTTTTCATCAGTTTTTGCCACCCCTCCTGCAAGTGAGTATAACAAAGCTCTTACTTTTGCTCTGTTTTCTTGCATTTTGTTCGTATCTCTGCTTCAAACTCACTCCATTTTTATGTTGTTGCAGAAATTGTAACTTCTGTTGCGTCAAATGTGGTCTCTGCCCTCGTAAAATGGCTATGGTCTATGAAATCAACAACCAAAACAAGTAAGCATCACCCAAAGCTCAAAACTTCAGTGTCTTTTTTTTTTTCCTTTCATAGTTGATCAGCTCTCCTCTGCTCAACTTCTAAGGCTCTTTTATGGAGGCTAGTGATTGATCTTTTGGCTAATGGGGTTTCTTGGGTATGTTGTTTTAGGTGTTCCTAGTGGCCGTTCCATGATCAAATTTGAAGGAGGGTATACCGTGGAGACTGTGTTTGATGGAATCAAGCTTGGAATTGAACCATACTCTGTTGAGGTTTCCCCTAACGGGGAGCTCTTCGTTTTGGATTCTGAGAACAGTAACATATACAAGATCTCAATGCCATTTTCTCGATGTAAGCTACCTTTTCCATAAATTTTTAGGGATTTAGGGCTTCATTATATCAATTTGTTGTGTTTGATTTAGATATTATACCAATGCCAACATGCACATTCAAATTCTTATCTGAAAAGTTTACTGATTTAATTGGTTTTGAGTAAGTACTTAGCTTCTTACTTGAGGCGTTGTTTCTTGGTTTGTCTGTGTCAAAGTGGTGATAGATTCTAATAGATTACTTTAGAAACTTAAAAATTAGTTTGATATGCTTTTGTTTAGAAGAAGTCTCCACTTTTAAAAGTGCAATAGGACTTTTGGTTCTGTTTCTAAGTACTCAGTTCCCCCTTTTTGGAGATTTTCATTCTTTTACTTTTCTTTGTCCTAATTCAAGCCGATATTCTTTGTTGACTAGTTAGACTTGTATTTTACTCCTCCTGGCTTCTGTCTTTCTAGAACAAGATTTAGGGTTCTATGAACTTTAACTTTGGAAACTTAGTACCTTTTGTTAATTGGAATCATTACACATGACCCAATATCACTTTGCAATTCCAATAATTTCAATCATTTGAACACCATGAAGAGATGCAACAGAAAAGAGGTAAATAAAGATGCTAACTTTAGATTTTTTTATTTAAAAATGTTAATTTTGTCAGTTTCTAAATAAGAATATTAACTTTTAATTTTTTCTATTTAAGGATTAATTAGATGATAATGCTAACATAAAAAATGAAATTTTTAACTGGAATGTTGAAAGTTGACGTCCTTAAATAAAAAAAATTGAAAATTGATATCTTTATTTAAAAACTAACAAAATTAACATTCTTAAATAAAAAAAAAAACACAAAGTTCACATCCTTATTTGCACCTTTTCTCAGAGATGCAAAATCAATAGCACACTGCCTTTTGTTGTCTTCTTGAGTTGCAAGTTGCATTAACCTAGATTCTCACCTAGATTTTCAAAGAAGAATTTTCAAAGTATCTTCTTTTCTTTGCAGAAACTGCTCTTATTTGATTTATATGTCCTTTTGTTTGCTTTCTTTGTTCTCCTTGAATTAATGGTAGAATTGAAACTGTTCTTTTATACACTGAAATTAGTAAATGAACGAACTACAGATAGCAGGCCTAAGTTGGTTGCCGGATCAACTGAAGGTTACACTGGACATGTTGATGGTAAGCTGAGAGAAGCAAGAATGAACCACCCAAAAGGGCTCTCAATGGATGATAGAGGAAATGTATACATTGCAGATACTCTGAATATGGCTATCAGGAAGATCAGTGATACAGGTGATTCTTGTCATTTAGAGTAGGTATCCATATTTCTGTATCTATAACATATTATCCCTTCTAACATGGCAGAATATCTTTGATTCTCAGAGGTTTTGGTTCAAAAACCATTGTTACTTTATTAGTGATCTTGGCACAAACTTGTGAATTGATTTACTTTGTATGGTTTTGTGGCAGGAGTCACTACTATAGCAGGTGGAAAATCGAGCCGGGGAGGAGGGCATGTTGATGGTCCAAGTGAAGATGCAAAATTCTCGGATGATTTTGATGTAGTTTATGTTGGAAGTAGTTGCTCTCTTCTGGTTATAGATAGAGGAAACCAGGCAATTCGTGAGATCCAACTTAACGAAGATGATTGTAGTTCACATCAGTATGATGATAATTTTCATTTAGGTAAAACTGTTTTGTTAGTTGTTGTTCCATCCATGTCATTTCTTTCAATATCATGAACAAGTATAAATATCATCATTGCAGGCATGGCAGTGCTTGCTGCAGCTGGATTCTTTGGTTACATGTTGGCCTTGCTGCAGCAAAGGGTGGGAGCAATGTTTTCTTCCGATGATGTAAGTGAATATTTTGAGTTCTAATTTTCTGATCTTAGCTTGATATAGACCAGTCAGGTTCTGAACTTTCTAGGACTCAAGAACTGCAATGAAGGGAGGTACAAAAGTGGCACCATATCAGGGGCCTCCAAAATCAGTCAGGCCTCCGTTAATTCCAAGTGAAGATGAACCTGAAAAGCCAGAAGAGGGCTTCTTTGGTTCGGTTGGGAGAGTTGTCCTCAACACTGGCTCATCTGTGGCTGCGGTATTTGGTGGATTGTTTTCGGGCTTCAGGAAGAAGCCCCACTATTATCAGCTCCAGCACCAGTACCAGCAACCAGACATACATTCCAATGGATGGCCTGCACAAATGCAAGAGAGCTTTGTGATTCCAGATGACGATGATCCACCCCCAATGGAAACGCGGGCAACTACACCAAAGAAAACCCATCCATTCATGATGAAGGACCTTGAGAAAAAGCACCAAAACCAGTCATACTACAACAGGTTGGATGTTGGATATCAGCAACATCAGCAACAGCAGCAACTGCAAACGAAGATGCAGCAGCAGCAACAACGACAGCAGCAGCACCATCATAGGCCTTACTCATCAAACCCACAAACTTATTATGAGAACAGCTGTGAAACAAATGAGATTGTTTTTGGGGCAGTACAAGAACAGGATGGAAGGCGTGAAGCTGTGGTGATAAAGGCTGTAGACTATGCGGATCCACGGTATAATCACCATAACATTGGACCCCGAATGAATTACATGGGTTACTCCCATGGCTATTGATCAAAATCCATTACCAGATATAAATCAAAGGGACTATGGCCAGTGGAAGAGGCTTTACAGTTTCTTGTTCCCTCTCTGAGAAGAAATGTCCAGTTTTTAAAGTTCTTTCCCGTGAATATATTGTCTACTTAGTTTTCCATTAAGCAGAAATCGAGGGAATCAAATTACTACTTTATCTTGTGCTCAATCAAAGGTCAAACAGTACTGATTCAGGAAGCATAAACTGCGATATGGTATAAGGTCTATTGTCCCTTCAAGTTATGCAATTAAGAAATATAATAGAACGTTTTGCTCCTATTTCTGACTCTCCTTTTTTGCTCCTAGTTCTCACTAGAAAACATGCAGCATTTATTGACCTGAATTTCTAGCAAGACTAGAAGCCTTAATTTATACCCACATGAAAGCATAAATAATGCTGTTGGCAGATTGATGGTAGATTGGTGGTCTCGTTTGTCCTCACCATTCATCCGTTACATTGACGTGTAGATATCATACTAAATCATTGCCTGATTGATGAGGATCCATGAACTGCCATTGGATTGAATGAGGGGCACAACCAACAATAAAAAACAATGAATACTTGAGTATAAATGTTTATCCATGGCAGCAAAGAACAGAACAAGTACATCTGAAATTTTTATTTGAAACTTACCATAACTTCTATAGATTGTTACAAGTAAATGGTCTTTTGCATTCCACCATATTGACCAATTCTTTTATTCAGACAAGACAGATATCAGCTCAAAGAAAAACAAAAAGGAACTTTCATCTTTGACCCCTATATATATAATGGCCAAGTCCATGAACTTTATTTTGAACCATTTCACACAATGACACATTGACACTTAAATTCTAACCTTGGAATCCACTTAAAAACATTACGAGAGCTATAAGCTCAATATCAATGCCCTATCCCACCGTCACTTGGACCACTAGTACCGTGCTCCTTGTTCTCCAAAAGATCAATAGTTTTAGTAACTTCATCGAGTTGAACATTTTGACCCATTTCTTCGTTAACACTTGGCTTCTGATCTGGAGCAGCACGGAATGAGCGAGCTTCTATGGTGGAAGCTAGCACCAAGAAGCTCAAGAAGATGATAAGGAGGAGGAAATGAAGTGTTTTGAGTTTCTTGGCCATGGAGTAGTACAAGCTTAACACAAAGTTTATTGTACTGCTTTGATGATGAAGGGGTTTAGTGGGTTTGTCCGTATTTATAGTAAAAAATAGCAAGCTTGTTGGACCAGGGGCAATGGGAAAAAAAACTTTCCAGGTGTAATGGGGAAAAAACTTTCTTGTTTTCAAACAACCATAAGTGAAATTGAGAATTTATGCCAATGTTAGGAAACTAGGAAGCGAGAAGGAAATTCATGTAATGAGAAGTTCAACCAAACATTTGGACTGGACATTTTGGGGGTTCAAGATGAAGAATGTAAATCTGAGCAAGTCCTAAAATTGCTTTTGGAGGTCAATGGAGCTAACCTCTCCTCTAGAAAATAAAGAGGTAATAACAAACTTTTAGGAGCGTACAAGCCGTTGTGGATCAACTACAACCAACACGCAAGATGCGTTCAATTTTATGCAAGCTAACTTCGAGTTAAAAACAACTAAAACCAGAGAGAATTGCAGCTCAGGCCCTGGTCTCCAAATTGGGCCAAGGGTAATGGGAAAAGAATTTTCTTGTTTTCAAACGTCCAGGAGAGAAATTAAGAATTTATGCCAATGTTAGGAAACTAGGAAGCATGGAAGGAGTTTCATGTAATGATGAGAAGTTGAACTATACATTTGGACTGGACATTTTGGAATAAAAAATGAAGTAAGAAAATGAATGCAATTTTGGAAACATGGAAGGAAATTCATGTACTGAAGAGAAGTTGAACTATACATTTGGACTGGACATTTTGGAATAAAAAAATGAAGTAAGAAAATTCATGCAATTTTGGAAATTTCAAGATTCCGAAGTCTAAATTGTTCACTTGACCAATTTACACAATTTTCCACAAAGTAAAAGGAAGAAATATCAAAGATGAGATATTCATATATGCATAGAACACGTTTTTCCACCACATTTTCACATAGCAACATAGGGTGATATTATGGAATTTGTTTCTAGGAGGTCTTAGAATATGCATCATGTTAAAATTGCTGAATTTAAATTAGATGAAGAAATCAATAGATTTGATTCCTGGGATCACTAGTGTTGTTAATCGCTGGCCGTTTTCTTTTTATATAAAACACACATGTAAGGAAGGAACAGTAGCGGACTTTGTGACGAGTGTTAGAGTGTGCTTTGACATAAAACTTCCTAAATGGTTTGATTTTATTCATGTGATTCAAAGTCAAGAATTCTTATTTTTAATAAAAAGAGATGATTATTAAATTATTTAAATAATTTATAAATTATACTTTAAAGAATATATAAGTGGGGATCTATTATGTAACCACTTGTTAAGAAAGATACGTAAAAGAAGTAATTAAGGTGAGATTTTGGGATAATTTGATAAAAATAAACTAAAATATTTTTTAAGTTAAATTTCACAATAAAATAAATTTTGACTTAATAAATTTATTAAAATGCTATAAATAAAATTTTTTATGTTATTAATAATATTTAAATAATTTTAATATTTAAACTCTATTTTTAATATAAAAGATATGAATCTCGTTAATTAAAACTTGAAAAACCTATGCTCATACTAAAATTATACAAAAATATTTAGTAATCATGATAAGAAACAAAAAAAAAAAAGTGTTAGTGTAGTCTACATAATTAAAATTATTAGATAAAAATGTAGTTTTAATATAAGATAATGAATGGTCTACTCATTCTTATTTTCTTAGTACAATACAATTTATACAGTGAAACATCAAATTTTATAATTTATTAATATATAAAATTTATTGTAAGAATACAAATTAAAAAAAAAAAAAATTGCAATGTGTGGATCCGATCCGAGCACTACTGAGTACAGTTAGTTGATAGATGTTACATATCGCGCTGTGTTCCGTTACAATCCATAAAAAAACCAGGACGAAGCGATTCTCTCGAAAGGCAGAAAATATCACAATTTTTTTATATTTATATATATATTTTTTAATTTCAATTATATAATAAAAAATAATTATTTTTTATTTTTTTATCTCATTTCATTCATATATTATATTATTTGAATTCAGAATTTAAATTTAAAATATTTTAAATTCTTTATCGTTGAAATATCTCTTTTAAGCTCAAAATCGCAACCTTCGAAGAGAGCCAGAGAGGAAGCGAGAAACTCTGGGGGAAATTATCAATTTTTAAAGAAAATGTTGCGACAGGCAGCTGATGCCTCCTCGCCCTCTGCCGACGATGTCCATGAGGTGGCCTTCGCCTTTTGCAGCTGCTCTTTCTGTTAAAATTTAAGAATTGATATATATGAAATTTAAAATATTAAGATATAATGAAATAAATAAATTATATATCTTAATTTTTATAATTAATATGTTATGCAAACATTATCATTATAATTTTATTTATAAAATAAATATGATTAATATTAAGATTTATATATTTTTCTTTTTATTTAACTTTTATATAATAATAATTCATGAATCATATCAA